CCACCAATAAGCTAAAGGAGGAATAGAGTTTGAAGTAGCTTGTGCATTCACCTTATTAAAGGAATGTAACTAAAAACGTATTAAAACACATTTGCCTAAAGATGAGGGAACTGTAAGTGCAAAATGCTACATTGATTCCAGTTTAAAGACTGATTCCTGCCGCACCATAATAATAAAGAGCTCAGTGAGGGGGAACATCATGAAACAATTACATTTATTGTTTGGAAATGTGTGAGAAGTGTACAAAATACATATTATGAAAGGAGATATTTGGTGTTTCTGCCACCTTAAAGCCCAAACTATCACCACAGTGTTCTCTCAGTGAGATGACTTAACTGTCTGTCATTCACAATTAACCTGTTAAGCCCCAAAGCCCCCGTCGACGGGTCTTTTTTTTTTTCACAAATTAAATTAAAAATTAAAAAAATTAATAATTTTTTTTTATTAATTTTTTTTTTCTTTGGATGAAATGAATACCTATGGTGATAATTCAATGTAATACATCATTTTTATAGTCTGGTACCTGAAAAAGGTCAAATGGCACTGATGGAACCAGATGTACCCAAATGTGCCGAAAGCTTATTCCGCCTGGAACTTTTTTTTGCTAAACCTCTCTAAAAAGGTCAAATTTAACTTGTTTTGCCTCAATATTGATACAGGGTACTTATTATATGTTATAGCTTTTAGTCTACCATCCCATCATTCAAGGGTGGTTTTCACTATAAGTAATGTTTTTTCTTTAGGCGGAGGTAAGAATTTACCTTTTTTTACTATGTTCCATCTGAATTTACTCTGACTGAGAAAAATCTATATTGATTCTGACACTTGTACATCCAACTCACAGATGTAACCTTGCTTTGATAAAAGAAATTATTCATATAACCCTTTTAGAAGTGAAGTTGTAGTCATTTGTTTTGGGCATGTCATTTTCTAGCCTGAAACCTGAAAAACAGGCTCAGGGCTTAACAGGTTAAAGCCCAAACTATTACCACAGTGTTCTCTCAGTGAGATGACTTAACTGTCTGTCATTCACAATTAAAGCCCAAACTATTACCACAGTGTTCTCTCAGTGAGATGACTTAACTGTCTGTCATTCACAATTAAAGGCCGCAGTCATGTAGATTCAACATTCAGTTGCATCTGAAGTAAGTTCCTGAGAAGAGATCAAAACAAATAAACAAACATTAATATATTGTCTGCTGTGCACTATATATTCAATGAGGTGTAAACGGAGTACTCCACTGATCTTGCACTCCTACATCATTGTAGGACAGGGTTCAAATAGGATCAAAATTGAGGCAGCAGAACCAGAGAGTCTTCTTTCATTCTTCTTAAAGATACCTGGTGAGTATGCCTCTTAAACTGCTGCCATTTTGGTCTGGGATTCTGTTGTGTTATGCTCGTAGTGGCTAACGTCGCCTCACGGTGCTAACCTCCACCAGACATGAGGAGTGGGCTTCAGAGGTCTAGTAAGATCACTTCTTTTTAACACCACAAATCACACATTTGCCTAAAGATGAGGGAACTGTAAGTGCAAAATGCTACATTGATTCCAGTTTAAAGACTGATTCCTGCCGCACCATAATAATAAAGAGCTCAGTGAGGGGGAACATCATGAAACAATTACATTTATTGTTTGGAAATGTGTGAGAAGTGTACAAAATACATATTATGAAAGGAGATATTTGGTGTTTCTGCCACCTTAAAGCCCAAACTATCACCACAGTGTTCTCTCAGTGAGATGACTTAACTGTCTGTCATTCACAATTAACCTGTTAAGCCCCAAAGCCCCCGTCGACGGGTCTTTTTTTTTTTCACAAATTAAATTAAAAATTAAAGAAATTAATAATTTTTTTTTATTAATTTTTTTTTTCTTTGGATGAAATGAATACCTATGGTGATAATTCAATGTAATACATAATTTTTATAGTCTGGTACCTGAAAAAGGTCAAATGGCACTGATGGAACCAGATGTACCCAAATGTGCCGAAAGCTTATTCTGCCTGGAACTTTTTTTTGCTAAACCTCTCTAAAAAGGTCAAATTTAACTTGTTTTGCCTCAATCTTGATACAGGGTACTTATTATATGTTATAGCTTTTAGTCTACCATCCCATCATTCAAGGGTGGTTTTCACTATAAGTAATGTTTTTTCTTTAGGCGGAGGTAAGAATTTACCTTTTTTTACTATGTTCCATCTGAATTTACTCTGACTGAGAAAAATCTATATTGATTCTGACACTTGTACATCCAACTCACAGATGTAACCTTGCTTTGATAAAAGAAATTATTCATATAACCCTTTTAGAAGTGAAGTTGTAGTCATTTGTTTTGGGCATGTCATTTTCTAGCCTGAAACCTGAAAAACAGGCTCGGGGCTTAACAGGTTAAAGCCCAAACTATTACCACAGTGTTCTCTCAGTGAGATGACTTAACTGTCTGTCATTCACAATTAAAGGCCGCAGTCATGTAGATTCAACATTCAGTTGCATCTGAAGTAAGTTCCTGAGAAGAGATCAAAACAAATAAACAAACATTAATATATTGTCTGCTGTGCACTATATATTCAATGAGGTGTAAACGGAGTACTCCACTGATCTTGCACTCCTACATCATTGTAGGACAGGGTTCAAATAGGATCAAAATTGAGGCAGCAGAACCAGAGAGTCTTCTTTCATTCTTCTTAAAGATACCTGGTGAGTATGCCTCTTAAACTGCTGCCATTTTGGTCTGGGATTCTGTTGTGTTATGCTCGTAGTGGCTAACGTCGCCTCACGGTGCTAACCTCCACCAGACATGAGGAGTGGGCTTCAGAGGTCTAGTAAGATCACTTCTTTTTAACACCACAAATCACACATTTGCCTAAAGATGAGGGAACTGTAAGTGCAAAATGCTACATTGATTCCAGTTTAAAGACTGATTCCTGCCGCACCATAATAATAAAGAGCTCAGTGAGGGGGAACATCATGAAACAATTACATTTATTGTTTGGAAATGTGTGAGAAGTGTACAAAATACATATTATGAAAGGAGATATTTGGTGTTTCTGCCTGTTAAGCCCCAAAGCCCCCGTCGGCGGGTCTTTTTTTTTTTCACAAATTAAATTAAAAATTAAAAAAATTAATAATTTTTTTTTATTATTTTATTTTTCTTTGGATGAAATGAATACCTATGGTGATAATTCAATGTAATACATAATTTTTATAGTCTGGTACCTGAAAAAGGTCAAATGGCACTGATGGAACCAGATGTACCCAAATGTGCCGAAAGCTTATTCCGCCTGGAACTTTTTTTTGCTAAACCTCTCTAAAAAGGTCAAATTTAACTTGTTTTGCCTCAATATTGATACAGGGTACTTATTATATGTTATAGCTTTTAGTCTACCATCCCATCATTCAAGGGTGGTTTTCACTATAAGTAATGTTTTTTCTTTAGGCGGAGGTAAGAATTTACCTTTTTTTACTATGTTCCATCTGAATTTACTCTGACTGAGAAAAATCTATATTGATTCTGACACTTGTACATCCAACTCACAGATGTAACCTTGCTTTGATAAAAGAAATTATTCATATAACCCTTTTAGAAGTGAAGTTGTAGTCATTTGTTTTGGGCATGTCATTTTCTAGCCTGAAACCTGAAAAACAGGCTCAGGGCTTAACAGGTTAAAGCCCAAACTATTACCACAGTGTTCTCTCAGTGAGATGACTTAACTGTCTGTCATTCACAATTAAAGCCCAAACTATTACCACAGCGTTCTCTCAGTGAGATGACTTAACTGTCTGTCATTCACAATTAAAGGCCGCAGTCATGTAGATTCAACATTCAGTTGCATCTGAAGTAAGTTCCTGAGAAGAGATCAAAACAAATAAACAAACATTAATATATTGTCTGCTGTGCACTATATATTCAATGAGGTGTAAACGGAGTACTCCACTGATCTTGCACTCCTACATCATTGTAGGACAGGGTTCAAATAGGATCAAAATTGAGGCAGCAGAACCAGAGAGTCTTCTTTCATTCTTCTTAAAGATACCTGGTGAGTATGCCTCTTAAACTGCTGCCATTTTGGTCTGGGATTCTGTTGTGTTATGCTCGTAGTGGCTAACGTCGCCTCACGGTGCTAACCTCCACCAGACATGAGGAGTGGGCTTCAGAGGTCTAGTAAGATCACTTCTTTTTAACACCACAAATCACACATTTGCCTAAAGATGAGGGAACTGTAAGTGCAAAATGCTACATTGATTCCAGTTTAAAGACTGATTCCTGCCGCACCATAATAATAAAGAGCTCAGTGAGGGGGAACATCATGAAACAATTACATTTATTGTTTGGAAATGTGTGAGAAGTGTACAAAATACATATTATGAAAGGAGATATTTGGTGTTTCTGCCTGTTAAGCCCCAAAGCCCCGTCGGCGGGTCTTTTTTTTTTTCACAAATTAAATTAAAAATTAAAAAAATTAATAATTTTTTTTTATTATTTTATTTTTCTTTGGATGAAATGAATACCTATGGTGATAATTCAATGTAATACATCATTTTTATAGTCTGGTACCTGAAAAAGGTCAAATGGCACTGATGGAACCAGATGTACCCAAATGTGCCGAAAGCTTATTCCGCCTGGAACTTTTTTTTGCTAAACCTCTCTAAAAAGGTCAAATGTAACTTGTTTTGCCTCAATATTGATACAGGGTACTTATTATATGTTATAGCTTTTAGTCTACCATCCCATCATTCAAGGGTGGTTTTCACTATAAGTAATGTTTTTTTCTTTAGGCGGAGGTAAGAATTTACCTTTTTTTACTATGTTCCATCTGAATTTACTCTGACTGAGAAAAATCTATATTGATTCTGACACTTGTACATCCAACTCACAGATGTAACCTTGCTTTGATAAAAGAAATTATTCATATAACCCTTTTAGAAGTGAAGTTGTAGTCATTTGTTTTGGGCATGTCATTTTCGAGCCTGAAACCTGAAAAACAGGCTCAGGGCTTAACAGGTTAAAGCCCAAACTATTACCACAGTGTTCTCTCAGTGAGATGACTTAACTGTCTGTCATTCACAATTAAAGGCCGCAGTCATGTAGATTCAACATTCAGTTGCATCTGAAGTAAGTTCCTGAGAAGAGATCAAAACAAATAAACAAACATGTGTAGTGATCACTGATTAATACACTGGGTTACATAATCCAATCATGGAACTACAGGTTGGGGGTATTGTTTCCGCACGGACGCATATGTTGACGGTACCTACTGTGTACCTACTGTGTGTCCTCCCTTTCACTTTCTCTTGCCTTCTCGGGCTGCGACCCGACAGCATGTCGATTTCTGCTGCTCAATAAAGTGAGATCTGCACCTTCGATGCACCGCTTCGGACTCCCTTCTCTCGGCACTACATTGGTGACCCTGACATAAGTCTCGCGAAGGTTCCGGGACTGAATCGAACACGGCAAAGAACTTACTGTTTTTCTCGAAATGCCGGAGATTTTTGGAGACGTCCGTGTCTGCCACGTGCGCTCGGACTGAGGCTCGGTGCGCCCCACGGAATGGTGGAGGACGTCGCTCACCATTCCCGCTTCGTCTCGGCGCTGGAGGGCAGCAAGCCTTCCTGCTGCGAGGAGACGTTGCACGACCTGCTAGGTATGGAGGGGCCTGACTTCTGCCTCGTGGAGCTGGTTCTTCGGGACATGCGGCTGCATGTCCAGGCTGCGCTAGCTAACTCGGCTAGTGTTGAGCCCCGCGCTTTGGCCGAAGATGCTGGCCGGTTCCTCCTGGCCGCCCCGCGATTTCCCCCTGAGGTGCTTGCCACTGCACGCTGCAGCACCTTCCCTGGTGGGGGCACGCCGCCTAGCAGAGGCTCCGGGGACGACGACGACGACAGCGACTACCGGCCGTCGAGAACGGCTAACGGCAGCTAGCCACGACAGCTGGCGGCTAGCAGCTACCGACGGCTATCGACGACAGCTAGCAACAGCTAACAAAACTAAGACTACAGACTGCCTGTGTCATGGCGAATACAGTCGCTGCTTTATTTATGTCTGTATAGGCCGTTGTTGTGAGTGTGGACGGTCGGAGCATATACTGCGTTAGCTTAGCCGATCTCCATTTAGAAAACACGCATTTTAAAAGGTTTTTCGCCTGCCGTCTGTCTGCAGACTTGTCAAAGCATTAATTCATGGTTTTTACTAACCGGTATCAGTATGTTGTTACTTCGGCATCATTTTGAAACGTGTATTACAATTAAATCACGGTCAAATATGTCCATCTTGTTGTAGTTGTAGCCCCCTTGCCAGCGATTCTCTCTCTAGTTTAGCATACTCAGCCCGACTCAGCCTCGTTGTCTCTGGCCCTAGACCCACGATTTTATGAGGCCAGAAAAACTGTGAATTAGGACCCGCCGGCCGGTACTAGGCCAAGTGGAAACGCAACCAAAAACGGGCCGCTGACGTCACAGCCCTCTTAAACCGTGCTCCGCGCTGTAGTGGAAACGCGCCATTAAAGTCACATCGCTTAATGGCACTGACATTTTGGGCCGCTCATTAGAGGGCCACTAGAGGCTTTATCCCATGTTTTTTTCACACATGCAGCAGTATTTCTTGACACCTGTAAACAGACTGCTGAGTGGAGTTCCCTTCTAATGTGCCTCCAGGAATACTGGAAAACTCATGGTCCAATTCAACAAAAAATATCTTAGGGCTCAAATTATATAAGAAAATATCTTAATTGCTAAATAAGAAAAAGGGCAAAGAATAGATACATCATTTTAAAACACTGTTGAAATTGTTCTTTTTTTTTGTCTACAGGTGCGTACCTCCAGAGGCTTGGGCAGGGTGCTGAGGCAGCGCTGGACAGCATGATGGACCGATGGGAAGACACAGGAGCTGAGCAGGCTGTCCCGTATACAACCCTGAGTCTGGAGCTTAGATAACACTGTTTCTGTTGACAGACACAGGGAACAATTCCACAATGCAGGTAAATGTGACAAAAATATTGCTTGGTTTTGTGGTTGGATGTGTTTATGTGATGATTTGAAGCACACAAACTGTTACGGATTATACATGAAAAAGAAAGCTATGTGTCAAGCAGAGCTACAGTAAGGGAGGGGTTGTGGGAAACTGACCTGAGAAAGCACGGCAGCCCAACTTTAGACAAAGAGTGTGTGTGTGTGTGTGTGTGTGTGTGTGTGTGTGTGTGTGTGTGTGTGTGTGTGTGTGTGTGTGTGTGTGTGTGTGTGTGTGTGTGTGTGTGTGTGTGTGTGTGGGGGTAAAGACACGTAGCTCTATAGGAGTTAAATGAGCATGAAACACAAAGCTCACCTGGGCACGCTGCCAGACACACACTGATACCCTGGAGTCCCAAGTCTTCTACAACCTGGTACACACACACACACACACACACACACACACACACACACACACACACACACACACACACACACACACACACACACACACACACACACACACACACACTGATGAATGAATTTTCTTCTTAGTTATCAATGAGGTCAAAGAAAAGTTTAATTAACAAAGGCATATCAGTGAAATTAGTTACTCATCAACAACTGGGAGAAGTTTGAGACCATTAGAGGGTGTGTCTCATATTCTTATTATCCAACTGGCAATTACAGGTCATCTAGTTGAGCCTTAAATAATAATTTCTTGTCAGAGTCTTTGATCCGCAGAGAGGAGCCAGTGTGAGGACAGCCAACCATTACGGCAAATGACCACTAAAGATTGAGAATTGGCAGCTTAAGAGCAAACCATCACAGTGATGTTTCCAACTTAACAGAAATGACTGAAGTGCTACATTTAGTCAAGCTAAAAATAACTTGAAACAACTAGTGTGCTTTATTTTTTGTTTTGTTTGCACATGTAGTATTTCCAGCAAACAAAGTGTCAAACTATCACATTGGTAAGACATTATACAATCAGTTCAAAATGTTGTGAGATACTAACTAGTACATGTATGTTTATCATGGATAACTTCATCATCTTATATTGAAAAAGTAGAAAGGGATTCAAAAGTATGAAGTAGGTGTTTTGTAAGAAATATAATTTGTTGCATGAGCGATTGTTTGATTCTCAGACAAAGAAAGAGCATGAGCTGCAGTAACTCAAAGGTAATATCAGGTCAAATGTCCCACCGTTTGATTGACAGGCAATCTGTGGGCATTTAGGTGCAAAATCAACATACTAATTAGTGCCAACCACAATAATCAAGAATGCAAATCAATCATTTACGAGATGTTTTGGGGTGTTTAGCTAAAAAAAACTGAAGATGACTTTTATAATTCCCTCACCTTGCAGAGTCCTGTTTTGGCCACAGAGTCCATGAAGGTGACAGAGCTGAGATCTAGAACCAAGCAATGAGTGTGTGCCGTCGTCTCGGCTGAGGAGGGGGAGGAGGAGGAGGGGGAGGTAGAGGTCTGGACTCCAGCTGGGTTCTCCTTCTGACCACGACTCACTGTCTGGATGTGGGGAGGAAAAGTCCAATTAACTCTCTGTGTGTGTGTGTGTGTGGTGTGTGTGTGTGTGTGTGTGTGTGTGTGTGTGTGTGTGTGTGTGTGTGTGTGTGTGTGTGTGTGTATGTGTGTGTGTGTGTGTGTGTGTGTGTGTGTGTGTGTGTGTGTGTGTGTGTGTGTGTGTGTGTGTGGTGAGTGTGTGTGTGTGTGTGCGTGTGTGTGTGTGTGTGTGTGTGTGTGTGTGTGTGTGTGTGTGTGTTGGCACCTGTCTGATCTGTGTGAAGACCAGTTCAGAGTTGGCAAAATAAATAGGACTGGAATGGGAGAGTATGGTCACTCCAGGGACTTGCTTTGCCTGAAAAACATCAAGAACAACAGAGACACACGCAGGACTTATCATTGTTCAGAACCTGCGTTTTACAACTTGGCTCAATAGTGACACCCTGGATCAGAATTAGCTAAATATGTTGCATTTAAAAAGTATGTATTTGCTACGCAAATGGCACAAATCGAGTAAGGAATAAATGCATTTGAAACCGTCTTTGAAACATACAATATACCACTTGGAGAAATGTCTACTTCAGGGACACAAAGATCTGAAGTGTAAAAAAGCTGTGGCTATAGCATCAAAGACAACAAAAAAGAAAGAGAACCGAATGAGAACTTCTTCACAGATATCCGCTGCATGCACCATCACTGATGTATGATGGGTATTTGACAGAGGGGAGATCAGGTGGAGGGAACAGAGCGATGTTGACAGGGATTCTCTGCTCTGAGCCCAAACAGATTGCCTTTGGTGACAGTTCAGGGTTTTGATGTGGGACAGATGGCGTTTCTCAGCCAGGGATGTATTTGAGTGTGTTTTGGCTGCGCGACAGAGTGCTTCACTTATGAAAAACTGGCCATCACAAAATAATTGGTTGTGTTATTTGGTGGAAGACACCGTGTTTTGATAGCTTGCAACATATATACTTCTCAAACTGGTTTATATTTATGAATGCCTTTCCATTATGTGAAAACATTGCATTTAATCAGAGTGACAATGATCTACACGCCTGCACGTTACTACACATCAGATGCTTGCTGTGTGAAAGTGCATTTGCATTGCAGACGTTGTGCTCTAGTTTAATAATGAGTGTGTAACGTGTGCAGATAAAAGACGGGACCTGGAGAAATGATTATTGACTGTGTTTCACACTGATGGCAGTTTAGATATGCTACTCCACAGCCTGCGATCGGCTCAGGTCATCAGGTCAGTGTGAGTCGTCTTTCTATCAGTTCAGGGTCAGGAGGAGACAGGCTTCGGCATACTGAAGGTGTATTATGGCCTGCTGCGCAATTATGAGCTGTAACAACATTACATTCACACAGTGCCATGATGTTGTTGTTTAATAAGACTGACTGAGGTGTTTTGAACCCTTTGCTGCATTCATTTTCTCCAGTGTCAAGTGTCTGCCCCCTATTGTCCTATTCAATCAATACTTATTTATTATCATGGAAGAAATGTATGGTTGCAAAACAGGAACATATAAGTAAAATGTGCGTGTTCTAGGATTAGGGGCCCAAAGAAGAAAAAGGAAACCAGCTGCTATATGGGAATGCTTCACATTTTCTCCATTGAAAAGACACCCAGGGGCACTTTATCTCCTTTTCCTGGACGTTGGGACACCTTACAGTGCACTTTTTTTATCCACCATAAAATAATCCAAGAGAGCACATTTTCTGATTTCTGACATGGGGGCATATGGTATCCATGATGTGGCTTTCCATACATACCTAGCTGACAACGCTGTGAACTTGGTCAGCTCTTTTAATGATTGTATTCCTTTAAAAGTCCCTTAACGTCTGTATGGCTTATGTCATCCATTTTCTCTATAACTGACATAATGAACCCTTTTGTGGCAAGATTGGAAGTCCATAGCTTTAGAAAACTGACTATAAGGAAAATGACTATGTATTGAGGCTGGTGGAGAAGGACAGAAACTCACCATGTTCATCCTAAACCTTAACACAGGGAAGGCAGAAGAAAGACAGAAAGAAAAATTATGCAAATTCTGAGTCTGCATTCAAAGCGTTGTTTTCGTCTCTCATTTGACTTCCTAATTACCTTCAGGCTTTACTTTGCTCTACTTATTGTGAGCAACATCAAACTTTAATCAAAAGGTTTCTTCAACAGGTTTTTGGGAACTCTGCCTGTGAGAGTTGGTGTGACAGATTGAGTTTACCTCAGCGTACAGTCCCACGTCTCTGTAACAGTCTGTACCAGGAATACCACCCAACACAAGAGTGGATTTTTTTTTTTTGGAGAGAAGACTGGAATGAGAAGAACAGGG